TCCATTTTGTATCTGTGTATTCAAAGTGGTTGGGATAGATATATAGTTGCATTCTCTTAATGAATAGAATGATTTTTTCTAATGGTGTTTGTAAAGAGGATCACAAGTCCGCATCTTGTACAGCAATTAACCACTAAGAAGAATATATGCAGTGTTTTATTTGTTGAAACCGTACTTCCAATTTGAATTGAAACTGTCTCATTGCTATCTGTTTATCAATAAAACTTTGAAAAAAAAAGATTCAAGACCAATTTGCAACAACCTAAAAAAAATGCATTTCTATTAATAAGACACTTCTACTTTCCATTAAAAGCACAAAAGAATAAAGATACTATTTTATCTATTTTTGAGTTTCTTATCATCACATAGGATGGCCCTGAATTGTTCCAACAAAGCACTGAAGTTTGCCTGCACAGGCACTCTTCACACCGAGCTTCACTAAACAACTGTACCATATTAAAACCAAAACGCGTGACCACAAAACACAACTTAATCCAATGTTCCCTACTGAGAATCTAACATGGCACCTTGTTCTCATCACTGTCACACAATCTACATTAAAGCAAGCCACAACCATGAAACAAGTCATCATGCACCACAGTCACCACGACCTCTGAATTCACTTTAAATAGCATATTTAAGTCATGGCTTATTAGTCACTCATACTAGTAAGGTCATATTGACCATACAAACCAAGAGGTCAGGCTAGTTCAGGTAATATATTCTTTTTCAGTAAATGACAACATCAAGTAACTTGAAGGTGAGATCCACTAACTACATTTTGTTGTCACTAATATATCTCAAATTGAGGGCACAGAAGAGGATACGTACAGTACAAAAGTCCAAGTCATGTACTGTGGAACTACAGAGCTGGTTACAAATCTAAATTTACTACTTCCAATAGTCCACTCATCTTTAACATAGGAAGTAACTTCTACTATTAGTGTTTAAGGAATTAAAGTCTACTAGTCATATTATCTAAGGAGTTAAGAAGCATAAGAGGAATATGTTTCAAGTACTTGGCACAAAGAGCTCAATAAAGTCTAGCTGAAAAACTACAAATAAAACTCAAGATATATTTAAAATGTACCTTCGGCCAGGAAAATAGTTCAGTGGTTTAAGCACCTGCCTGTTAAGCATAAGGTCCTGAGTTTGATCCCTGGTACCAAAAACAAAACAAAACAAAAAAAAAATAAAACAAAAGCAACAAAAAAATATAAAATGTACCTCTAACCCAAAATAAAGTACACTGCTTTCTAAAAGCTAAAAGTGAATCTTAATTTAGCTTCAAAATGAAGCTTGTTCTTATAGTAATCACAATGTGTTCCTAATTCAGGCACTATATTAACTGCACTGTATGACGTAGAAGAATCAGACATGGTCAGATTGGAATTCTGAGCCTCCTAAAGGTTGAACACTTTTATTCCTGAGTCTACCTATATACTTCTATACCTAATCACTGAAGGGAATATAGTATGTTCCTTCCCATTTCCCCCTTTAAAAACCTTGGTTTTTAGCATCAAGTCCTCATAAAATATAACTAACCAATATACTATAGACCTATAAAAATCAAGATTAGGTATTTTTAGAAGTCACTGTATCATGTTTACATGTGTGCATAATTCACATACAATATTCCCATCCTAAACTTGACATGGTTAAAAAAAATTTAGAGTGACTCATGAAATTAAAGCAGGGATTATGGAAGATTTTGCAGAAACCTAATGTTTCTTAATAATTTCTTCTGGTCATCTCTAGAGAAAAGAAAACAATTGTCCAGACAGCTCAAACTGCAAACCTTATACAGCTAATTAAAGAGAGGCTAGAAGTCTAAAGGAAATGAGCTCACCGCTAGATCATTTATAACATGCTCTTGTATCAGCAGAAAGCTAGACACTACTTACAGTTTTAAAAATGCTATTCATCATACTTTTTGTTACTTCAAGTAGTAAAAATAACACCTTTCAATCATTTTAATGTTTTACAGAATCTACTCATTATTATCTAAATCAACTATCTCCTCCTCTTTAAAAACTTTCTAAATTCCTTTACATGCAAGAACCTAGGAATTAGCTATTTCCTCCCTTTTAAGTCTTTAATGTTCTCTACGTGCAAGTCTACTGTAGGATGTATGATATTCTAATGTCTCCCAGATCTTGTTAACTAGCACGCTCTCTAAACTCACATTACTTATGAAAAGGGACTACATTATGCACCTATGTGTAGTGGCCAGAATACAAAAAAAATGATACTTCAGTAATCACAGTAGAATAAGGTTTCTTAAATAGAAATTTTCTATTTCATGAGTTGCACAGAAAAATACAATTAAAAATTTCTAAGGCCATTTAAATGTTGGAAATGTTACATTCAATAATATTTTCTGAGAGATACAGAATATAAACTATAGTATCAAAGATACTGAGAAATAATACCAAAAGAAACTTGTCTTAAATTTACTACATCTTCAAATTACTTAAAATTCCTATCAATATTCTATGGAGTAAGAATGTATTATGAATAACATTGTTTCAAAAATAGAATATAAACTGATGAAGTAAATCTGACACGGATTAGATATCTATAATACTTGCCTCCTAATTAAAGAGTTAAAGAAATTTCAAGTGTCTAAATTTTATTAAATCACTCTGCTAAATGCAATGAGACATCATCAAACACTATGGTAAATATTTAATTTTTTAAAAATTTATTATAGAAAAATAAATATTGCCAACAATCCTTTTACAGTTTTGTGTATTGGTGACCCCACAAAGCCTCATGCAGTCATGGGGTGGCCTCTGTGTGCTTATTGTGAGTGTGGATGCTGCACCTACCCTGGGACAAGTAATCTGCATTACAACGTAAGAAGAGGAGAGAGGCTAGCTAGGTACCTGAGCTGCTGCCACTCTCTTGTCACTTGCTTTTTGCTGCCACCATGAACAGTTACTCTCTGCCATGTGCCACCCTGCCTTGGAGCCAGCTGAGTATAGACTGAAACGTCCACTGATTGTGAGTTAAATATACCTTTCCTTCCTTCACTTTGAGTGTTGGGTATTTTGTCCCAGCAATGAGAAGAGTAACTGAGACAAATCCACTCAAAACACTCCCCTTTATGTTGAAAGTCATTCCTGCTGTGTTCTAAACGCAGTCATGGAAGTCCTTTTCTACGAGTGTCTTTAGTTCTACTGTTACGAAGGCCTCAAGGTTATGACTCTTGCCTAAATGCCTACCTCTCATGGTCACTTTGACTTTGGGAAAGAGAAGTCAGTTGGCGCCAGAGCTGGTGCATAAGGTGAATGAGCACACACCACTGAGTTCATAAAGTGGTCCTTCCACCGGACAGCACAGGGAAGCACCTTCCTCATGATGGCACTCACGAAGAGGACATGCAGACTGCTGCAGTGAGCCCTGAGAATAGCGGGACCCCTGTGTCTGAAGCAAGGGTGGGGATATTCTGGGGAGGGGGTGTTAAAGGTAATGTGTCCATATTTACACATCATACATGTACTACTGCAACAAATTATAAAGCCTCTGCTATCATTTCTAGTTAGCTGCTATTGATGGGGCCCAGAAACCACCAAACAGAACAAAATCTAGGAGACAAATGCAGGAGTCATACCAGCTAACTACTGCAGGAACTGCTTTGCAAAGCCTCCAATTCAACAAGAACATAGAACCCTGCCTGCATAATGTGTTACTATAAAAAATTCCTTCATAAAAGGAAGGATCCCTGATACAGAGCAAACTAGTCTTGGGCTGTACTTGGTCTTTCAGAATAACTGATCTATCACCCTCTCCCGTCCTCCACAGATTTAGCTGTTGTAATCATGGTTATTTCCAGAGGAAGGCTTCTTTCCCAATTCCAAGAATTTTGCTATTACTAACCATCTGAAACAACTCCTGGGTAACAGAGGACTTTGAAATCCTGCCACATGGGAAGAATTATGAAACAAAGTGTATTTATATTTTGATAGTGGTTCACCTCTTGCTATTAGTCTTTATTTCAATGAATGAAAAAGATTAGATACAAACTGACTTATACATAACTGTTTACATTCAAAGAAACTAATAATTTACTTTTCCAAAGAATTCAGAATTCCAAAATGCTGATTTCATTTTTCTAAGAATTTCTTTTCTGATTTGCTGTTTCATACACAAAAAATACTTATATCTTTTACTTCAATGTAATTTACTTATTTATTTTTTATACCGGAGATCAAACTTGGGACCTTGCACTTGCCAGGCGCTTATGCCACTGAGCTATATCCCAACCCTTTTACCTGAATGTAATTGAAGTTTTTGATTACTTTGAGAAAGAATGAGGAATTTAAGTGACTATAAAGTAAACAATCCTGTTAACCATTTTAGGAAAAATAGACATAAAAAGAAAACTCATAAAAACTACAAGAAAACTTCTAAACAATATTTTCTTTTTCTTTTTTTTCTTTTTTTTTTTTTTTTTTTTTTGTGGTACAGGGGATTGAACTCAGGACCCTGTGCTTGCCAGGTAGGCGCTTCTTCTACTGAGCTATACCCCCAGTCCAATATTTCCTTATATATAGTACACATTGAAACTTATCATGTTCAATACCTCCCCTTGTCCTGCAGTTTGAAGAAGTGGGGATATGTAGAAAATGAGGAACTTACCTAGGCTAGAATTGCCTTTTGCTATAGTAATAGTCCTCTCAAAAGATTCCTTGGACATATTTTCAAGCATGACAAACTCATCATTTGAGGCCAGAGAGCTCTGTTCAATTAGGCACTCAGAGCCCTGAAAGAAAGAAAAAACAAGTTATGTAGAAAGGAAAACAAGACTTTGGAATGTTTCAACATTACACATGTGCTCCACCTAGTAATGCTTTATTCAGCAAGAACCTATAATGAAACAAGTTCAAAAGTTGCTTCAGTGTTTCAGTATCAGACAAGTGCTCATTTTAAATAAATAGATTGGCCAGACACTCCAATTCTTTGTTATCTTGCCATACACAAGCCATGTCTTTACAATATTACCTTTCCAGTTGAATCAGGGAGCACAGGAAAAGTAAGTTCTGCGCTTGCTACAACTTCACGTGGTGGCCGAGAGTCAGCCCAAGGCACGGCATTTCCGTGTGCACACTGTCCAACAGGATCTGCAGGCGTGTAATCACTGACAGCAAACCCAGAAGTAGACCCCATACTCATGTCTGCTGAAGACGGAGTCTCATTCTGCCTATGCAGGAGGCTTTGGGCATACAGTTCTTCTAAGGACATGTGCAGATCATGTACTAGATCAGAAGAATTTTCATCAACATCCTGATAATTAAAAAATAAAAATCATAGGCTGACCTACATCAATTTTTATGACTATTTAGTGAACATCTATTTAGTGAAAAACATAACTATTTACCTAAAAAGCACTAACACATACTTAGGAGATTTTTTCACATATTTTCATAAATGCTTTTAGTACATTTCCTGCAAATCATACATCTCATTCCTACTGGTTTATATGTATGTAACATTTCATACAAAAAAAATCATTCATATATAGTCTTCAGTAAGAGCAGAAACTATGGTATAGGTTTAAAAGTAATTTTTAAAGCTTCATTACAGTAAAAAAGTGTCATCAATCCCTCCTCAATATCAACCTTTTTATACCTTCTAACCTTCCAACACACTCATTTCATCATTTCTGCCACATTCAAAAGCAAGTCTGGACATTTTCTTTTGTGAATGTCTTCGCAGCTGCCTCAAGACCATGAACTGCTTCACACTGCTTACGGCACTCTGCAGAACAAAGCCGCGCTGACGTGTCTTCATCCGTCTTACCCACCAGGCCTGACACCCGAAGTGCCTGGCTCTTCCCCAGTCAAGATAACTGTGAAAGGTGAATGCAGCGGCCACCTCAGGAGGGCGAGGGGCAGCCAGGACAGCCCAGCTGCAGACTCACGGGAAAGGACTTCCGGAGCTGTGCAGAGAGAAGCGGCGACGGCGGGGCAGGCGGCTGTGTTGGAAGAGCATGGGGGAGGTTGTGAAGGGAATTAAGCGTAACGTCTCTCTTACAGTGACATGGTTGTGACCATTAACATCTTTTGATCACACCTGCACCCACAAATATAACTGTTTGGCTTACACTACATAACGTGTACAGATAATTTATATTTCCAAATCTTAATTTAAGTGTTTAAAGTGTAGCTCATTTCCAATCCGTCTGAAATTCCTACATACTATGAGGTCAGAGAATTCAAATTATGCTACTAATTGAATTGGATTTACATTTATTTATTTATTTATTTATTTATTTATTTATTTTTGGTACAGGGACCAAACTCAGGACCTTGTGCTTGGTAGGCAGGCGCTTAAGTCACTGAGCTATCTCCCCAGAAAATTGGATTTAAAAGAACTTCTGAGAGAAAATTTTGGATAAGCATTTATAGGTATTCATGGAGAAGAAAAGAAAGCCTTGCAGTTCAGGTTACCACAGGCAAATTTTTCATGAGTGTCTAGTGAGATACAATGGAAAGGACACAAGCTGGCTTGTCAGAGTTCTCACCCAGACTCCGCACTCAGAACCCTTGGGTAGCACAGACCCCCTCTCTGGCCATGCTTTAGACACGTCCTACAATTCCCTGAAGCCGTGAAATTTCATATTTTTATATAAATACATGTATCTGCACTAACAGCGGATGTGTTGCATTACTTATGTGTTTTGAGCAAAAGTCGCCTTATCAAGTGTTGTTGAATAAACCTATGTTTCCTTCAGTTTTTAACTGATGTTTTTAAAGTGCAAAAGTAGCATACAAACACACTGCCCCATGAAAGAACCAAGCTGTGCAAATGTGTGCTGTGTACATCTACAGAGTGTAACATGAAAGGCCTCTCTCATAGCTCACACTTGCATTCCTTCTGTGAATGGAAGTAACTGGCTGGCCCTAATTAGCTACTCACCTCTTCTAGTCTGTGTGCATAATATGTGCATGTAAGTACACATGTACACATAAGTTCACATGTATCTGAAAGACAACACATTTTTAAAACCTACACAGAACCAACACTAGGTGGTACATTTCCTTGTTCTTTTTTCCCTGTATAGTCACACCTTGATATGACAAATTACCCTGTAGGCTAGGCTTTACCCGGCAAAACCTAATCTTCTCTTGGCCAAAATTTCTCCTCAGCAGGAGAGGCCAGGGTACATAGCCCGGTTCACAGGTACTCAGCTGTTTGGGCTTAGGTGTTACTTGAACACCTGCAGCTTTACTTTGGTTTCCTTACCAAGGAAAATTTGGGAAAATAAGAGGACTGAATGCAGGAATGTTTGGAAAACAAAGCTAATCCCCACAAAATAGTAAAAACAAACCTCACTAGAAAGAAAAAGTCCCATAGTTGTTAGCTTTTACAGTCATTTATATTATGTGACTCCACACACATATGTGAAAATGTATTTGCTATGAACTACTAGGACTGGAGTGGAAAGTGCAATGGAATTCAAACTTTTTTTTTTTTTTTTTCAGGGACAAATTTTTATTGCAAATACTCAAAAACTAGTATATACAGCAGAATGTTAATACCCATTGAAAACACTTAATATTCAGTGAAACACAATTTTAAGAATTCAAAGCACATTTTATGAAATAAAAATGTAGTATTTTTTAAATGTAACATTTTAAATAAAAGTTATTAGAACTTTAAAGCAAACTACTATTCATATGATTCACTTCTGTATCTATTATATCCTAGATGATTTTTAAAAAACCTGAAAAAAAAACTTAGCAGTTAACTTCTCTCTCACAAAAAGAGACAATGGGAATGCCTATTAAATCTTAACAAGTAGAGATCAATTTGGTAATTTGGTCTGTAAGAAATAATATTCAGCAGTCTTTTACTATAACATTCCTGACAATTAATCCATCTGTACACATTTAATGAACACTCTTTTCATATACTTTATTCACTTTAATTTTGTGAAAATAAAACAAAATTTTAACAAAATAAGAGAATAACAATAGTCAATACACTGTGTATCATTATCTTCAAAGTACTTACTCAGAGCACCAATTACCAGTACCAAAAACCAAGACACAGACATAGACAAAAAGAGATTCTTACAAAAAAAGAAACAGATGATAGCACAAAATTTTGTTTTTAATTAACTAAAAGAAATTAATAGTATAAATGGAATGAAATGGCATGCATATTAAATACTTTTGAAACAATTTAGCAGGTGATTTTTACTTGTTCTAGTCAGCGACCTCTTCTGAATATAACATGTTCTTACATTCACTGCAAATATTTTTCCTCTATTCATAATGTTTTGTCATATAGACATTTAACAGTTTTTCAGATTCAATTTTTCTAGAATTTATTTCCAATGTAAGAAATGTGGGTCTGTATTTTTTGTAAATGAGGAATTTAACTCTTGCAACATAATTTATTAAACTTCTTTTCTTAAATGCAAGTTATCTCTGATATCATCAAATATTCCTGGAACAGAAATGAATGTTGTTGGTCTATCATTTGAGCAATTAATATTTTTAAATTATTTAGGAAGAAATAATAGCAAAGTAGTATGTTCCACATACTCAGTCTAAGGAACCTGCTGTCACATTCATATCACTCTGATTATCTTACTCTCATGAAAAGTAACACAGTCCTTCCTAAAGCACTGGTTAGCTTCAGTATTGCTAAATTAATTATAATAATTAGCCATAAATCATCTCACCCATGTCTAAAATGAAAATAATTAGAAAAATTGCTTTTCAAAGTAAAAGAGGTCAAGTCAGCCTTGTTAGCTGATGTTTGCTGAAAATGGTGTAACGGAAATTCCTGTGTACTATTCAGGAAGGAGTTAACACAGACTTGTAGACAAGGAACAGCTAACCGCCACAGTGGACAGCACACTCCCACCACAGAAACATTTTTGGATGCTGAACAGCTGAGTTTTATTTTTAACTCTTATGATCTAAAAGAAACACAAGTTCTTTCACATAAAATGCTAAATAATAACTTAAATTTTCTAGTGCATCACAATATCTAAACTGAAGGCTTCCTAAAGTTCTTATTAATATTTGCCTCCACTTTTCATAAAAATTGTGATTGAAAAATAGTTAACATTTACATTTTTAAAAATTATTACAATAAAAGATAAATCACTTCAATGTCCCTCAAAATATCCCCCTCATTTTGAACACTTATCCTATCTGTTTTGCTACTCTTTAAAGCAGGTGCCCAGGGTCTTTTGTAAGTATCTTTAGTTGTGTTGACACAGCTGTCTTGTTGTCCTGAATTAATCTGAAACATTTACATTTCATGGCCATTTGGAATTTAAGGAAGAGCCAGAAGTTACACGGTGCCAATCTGGATGGGTACGGGGTCTGAGGACACAACACAATGTTTTTACCAGTCTGCTTTGCATCAGGTGGCTTTCTGTAGCAACATTCTCCATAGTGGTTATCACACTTCCTCAAGTCACTCACAAAAGAGAACTTCCAGACCTAATTCAAATGGTAATTATGCGATAAGTGCTTCAAGTGAGTGGAAATAATTTGGGTGGGGGTGGGGGTGCGGGTGGGGGTGCATGGCAATGTGCTCTTACTGGAATTATAAGTATGACAAAGGCTTAAGGTTACACTTGGACATCTCATTCATTGAGACAATTTATATAGAATAAATACTACAACCTGCATTGTTCTAATAAGCAACAGATGAAGTTTTGTTATACTCCAGGAAATAAAAAAATACATGTGCACCACTGCTCCAGCTTATTGTGCCTCCCCTATCATTCTGGGCCACAGTGTGACTCCTTTATTAATTAGGCATTGATGCCTGGATGGGTAAAGGCAGTATCTTTTACATCTTTGATAGGCTCCACTGTTGTATGATATTTACAATCAGTCATTTTAACTGGAGTTATTTAACTAGTATAGATTTTAACTTTTCTAAATAACACCAAGAACCCATCAATATTCTAAGTATGGATGTAAAAGCAGTTATATTTTCGTAGAGATTAACAGTAAACGAAAATCTGTAGGACTATATAGGATATATGCACAAGTAAAATAGAATCCATTAATTGTGTTTGGTATATGAAGTACAAATAGAAACGTTCCTATCTTGATAAACAGGAACCTCAACCTGTGCTACAATCAGCATAATTTTCTGGTGGAAGCAGCACTTAAGAACGAAAGCCATGACCATACTGGCAGCAGCTTCACCCCTAGTTAGAGACTGAGAGTCCAGGTGCCCATGGAGGGCGGGGAGGTGAAGAGACACTGAGGACGGGAAATGCAGACTCAGTACACAGTTATTCAATCCAGTGGTCATATTTTCATGTTAAAACAGGAAAAGGTAATGCAAACATCTTCTCAGAAAGTCTGTTGAGCCTTTTTTTTTTTTTTTTAAATGTATTTAGGACAGGGTGTACAGGGTGTACAGGGTGTACAGGGTGTACGGGGTCTCACTACATAGATTAGACTCCTAGTGATTCTCCTGCTTTCAGCCTCCCAAGACTGGGATTACAGGCTTACACCACCACACCCAGTCTCAATCACCATCTCAGTGCGCTCCAGGGGTGGGGCTGGCATGGCATGCTAGGGATCGAATCCCAGCTGCTGTGCTCTGCCTAAGTAGACGCTTTAGTTCACTGAGCTATCTGGCTGGCCCTCAGTATGTTGAGCTTTTAAACAAAACTACAAATGTTAAGCTTAAAAAACAATTATATCTGCATTTTGTCATGTCTTCGGAGATAACAAGGAAAAGGACATACAAGTATTAATAAAAAAAAAAGGAAAAACTGTCTATTGCCATGTACCTTTAAAATGCACATTTGAAAGACCTGCCTCTGACTAATTCAAATGACATGCAAGGGAATATATTAAATCCTAAACTGATAATCAATCAAGTTAAGAAAATATAAATTTCTTTTAAAAAATAGATCTTTCTCATATAGGAAGGATATCGGGACACAGTGGAGGGAGAGGAGGGAAAGAGGATCAAAAAAAGAATTAAGATGCGCTATGTACATGTACCAACTCAACACAAGGAATGTAAATATTATTTACTGCAAACTTTTACTAAGAGAAAGAAGCAAAGTTCTTGTTTAAAGAAGTAGAGTAGGCCCCAAATAGGAGACTTGTATGAACAGAAGCAAAATTATTACTCTTTGTTGTTCACACTCCTGCTTAGTCCTAAATTCTACATTGAAGAACAAGGCTGTAGCGGGACATGGTGGCTTATGCCTGTAATCCCAGCATTCTGGGAGGTCAATGCAGTAGAGTTACAAAATCAAGCCCACCCTCATCACTTAGCAAGATTCTTCCAAAATAAAATACGACTAAGCAAACAAACCTAAGGATTATGGATATAGATTTGTGCAGTATAGTGCAAAGGTCCAGGCTTCAATCTACAGTATGGTAATCAATCAATCAAACAAACAAACAATCAAATAATCACCAGTCAGTAAGCCAAGCAATCAAACAAATCAAAGGCTTCCTTTTAAGTAAGATCATGCTCCTTGGCTAGATCTTACAACTTCTATCAGGTAGCATACCTGACCAAGGTCAAAAGACCTCTCATCAAGGAGAGACAGGTAAAATTATTATCCATTCAAGGCCATGTGATTATATTTGACAAAATCAAAAATCTCAGTAATCACTGGAGGTCTTCACATTCTATGTTATCCTTTTGAATAAGCATTGAGATGGCTTTCCTAAATATCCATGTATACTATATATTTAAATAATTATATGTATATGTATGGTTTTATTGATTTAAAAGTCTTAATGTGAATTCATTTTTCAAGGAAAAGTCAGTTCTAAATTCTATAATAAATCACATTCTGTCTTTTAAGATGAAAGTAGTACAAAGAAACAAGAAGAATTATTTATTTATTTACTGATGTATTTTTGTATTGGAAATTTAAGTCAGGACCTTGTGCTTGCTAGGCAGGTGCCTGTACTGTTAAGCTATATCCCCAGCCCTAAGAAGATATTTTATATAATTTTTATTTGGATATGTAGAGATATACCACACTGCAGGAATAGTCCTACTTTCTAAGAAACAGAAAGTACACAGTAGTTTTACAATGTGTTTTAGAACACCCTCATTAATGCTTTGTTGTTTTGTAGTTTAAATATTTCAGTTGTTAGATCAGGCTGCCAAATTTGCTTCAGTGAAAGAGTAAACTACTCAGGGGGAAGAAAACGAAGTAAGAGGCAAACACAGTGCAGTAAGCCAATATGTAGTGCTGCACACAGGCAGCCCTTGCCCTGTAAAATGCAGGCTTCTCAGTATGCAGATTGTGTCATCCCTTTAAATAACAATTACTAAATTAAACAACGCAATCTGTCCCACTGGCAAAAAAGAAGTATGCTATGTGTGGATTAACAGATTCCACTGAGAGATGAACTCAGCTTCCAGCCCTAAGGCCAGGAAAGGCTGAACACATTCCAGACAGGACTCAGCCAACCAGCCAGGCTCCGGTGTGCTAGGAGAGAACAGCTGCTCCACTCAAACAAATCCAAGGAGACTGCCCAGCTCCATTTGCAAGGAAAACAGGAGCACTCTGAACATAAAAATGAAACACTTCCTACCTGTGCTGGCCCGAAAGCAATTGTTATTTGGGAAAGGAGAAAATATGCTAGACCTATGAACCACAACTTTCTAATGTCTTCATAAATGAGACTTCCATAAATTCACTCTATGCAGAAAATAATCATCCAATGTTTTTATCTTAAAGTATATTTGTGGTATATCTCCAACACAGAAAAATAAAAAAAATATATATCTACACTTTGCCTAAATTGAACAAATATATTTTGATATTTTCTTCAATCATTTTTTTTCTTAAAACAGTATGATATACACTGCTAAGTTCCCATGTTTCTTTTTTTCAATGAGGACAATTTCTTTCCTGAAGTTGGAAAATAGCATGCCTACACGTATTCAGATTTTCACCATACACAGGTATATATACTTGTAAAATATTCATCGAATTGCTTTATGCATTAACTTTCAGATCTATAAACTACTCAAATCATCTGAGCATAAGTAACCAAAATAAAATGGTTAAAATATAAGAAAGATTGTTGGTAAATATGAAAAAAAAATGGCCAGATTGTGGAAAAGTATTAACTCTCACTAGTAATCAGTAAATACAAATCAAAGTAAGAAATACTATCTTGCACTTAAAATATTATTAGACATTTTAAAATTATTACTTACTAAACATAATAGAGTGTATCACCAAGAAAATGTGGTAGGACTGAGGAATTCAAGCAAATAAAACATTTCTAAAATATAGATGAGATGCAAACCAGTAAACAAACCCTTCACTGATATCCAGTGATATAAACATACTTTATTCAGTGACTTTTATATAAATTATGCTTTGGCATCATTTTATATCAAAATATAGCATAAATTTGCCTCAGCTTGTAAATATTACATTAATACTGAAAATATTTTACTAACTATAGATAAGTTAGTTTTAAAAACATTAAGAAAACAATCTTATTCTTATAATTTTTTTCCAAAATAAGTAATGTTGAAACCCACAACTTGGAAAATACATTTCATGAATTCTGATATGAAAGATTCTATCAAAACTTTTTTTCTTTTTCTTTTCTTTTCTTTTCTTTTTTTTTGTGGAACCGGCGATTGAACTCAGGCCCTTGCACTTGCCAGGCAAGCGCTTATTCTACTGAGCTCTCTCCCCAGCCCTCTAACAAAACTCTGAATCTTTGTGTCTATCATTCTGCCCGACATTTAAAACAATCCACACTAATCTGAAAGATAAGCAATTAACACTAGCTAAAGAAAACTGCAATTTATTCTGATAGTGAATCCATAGCTACAGAAATATGTCTCTAATATGCTACTCCCACAACTGGCTCTTACACAATAACCTCTGGAAAATTATCACAAAGGCTTCTCATAAATAAAATGGCTTTTTCTTCTCACCTGGGGTGGAGATGATGGAAGGGAGGGGCCGTAATTGAGGGCCTCACTGCAGGCACTGCCATGGAAAGACAAGACAGAGGCTTGGGTGGAGTAGAGACTGTCGTTATCAAGGGAGTACTGTGACTCAAATGTGGACTCATCTGCTATTCCAGCATCATGTGCATCTACCTAGGAATGAAACAGCATCAGTAGGGAATTGGGTTTCATCACGAACATCACAGCTGAGAGTAAAAGCACAGCAGTATCACTCTTTTCTAGATCCTATTCTCTCCACCTTTGGGCACATCAGACCCATTCACTGTGAAGAGAAGGATGAACTGCCCCCTCTAGGACACAATGTTGGCATTGAAAGCCAATTTATTCTATTAGTGAAAGGCTAAAAGTAACAAGGGCCACGATCCATTTTCAGTGTAAACATTTTTAAAATTAAAGAAAATACTTTATTTTTCCAAATTCACATGACTAACTCTTAGCATTTAATAAAATGAACAAGGTACTCTCTTCTTTTCAACTAAAATAAACACTCAAACACATAGCAAAGCAATTACATTTTCAAAATTTCACTAGGTTTTATCTAATTCACCTTTGACTAAAATTTAAAACCATTTTAAGTTGTAGAAACTAAAAAAAAATCTGATTTTATGCTGAAATTATTCTAATAAGGGACTTGATTATCATCTGGTTATGATGAAGCTTTACACTATCCACCTCTATTAGGAAACTAATATGAATGGGACAGAGCACTTCACCATGTTTTATGTAAAAAACTGCACTACTATCTTCTATGGCAGAGTCAAGGAACTCGATCATATTGAGTTTGACACTCGCCATTTACTCCCGCTCACACTTTTTTGACCTATCAGCATTTCCTCATTATTTTGGTAGTGAATTCCACATATACTATTTAATTCTCATGTCAACTCAGATGCTTAGAATTTAGAAGCACTGTAACACTGCAGTAGGTGTCACTGAAAAGGCCAGTAACAGATGGACAGACTACTTCAAAGTAACTTTCACTTAAAATACATTTCATTGGTCTGATAACTAGATCAAGTTCAAACTCATTAGTGAGTCACTAAGTAGAGGTTTATCTTTTATCAATGTACATTATGCACAACAAAACTAGATAATGAATACTTAGTATCTGCTATTGAGATAGGTGGTATTAACTTGCTTGTGCCACAATCATAATAGATAAAATATATTTTAAACAGCATTTAAGAAAGAATGTCTCAATATAATTTCTATACCTACTGCCTTAGAATCTTAGGAGAAATTCTAAAACTCAATTTGCTTAATTACTACAGAGACAAAACACTAGGGTCCAGAAGACAGGCGGGCAGCTCAACACTACGCAGCTGGCGAGGGAGCAGAGCCGGCTATCTATTATGAATGTGAGATACCAAGCATCCATAAAAGTGAGACGCATCTCGTTGACTGACATACGCTTACAGAAGTTGAAAGATGCTATGCAAACTACAGAGAAAACTGTTTCTTGGGATATTTTATAAAGACAATGATATAACTGTTTCCTATGACATTTCAGGAAGTAATTTGCTATGTTTGGGTACTGTTTAACATAATAGTGCCCTTCATTGGCAACAGAATGCTAAATTATGACCACTGAGAGTAGGGCCAATACTTATTTGGTATGTTGAGTACTACAATGTGAAATTACATTTAGTATATTTATATGTAGTATATATACAACTTTTCAAAGAGCTACTTTGAGAGCTTTTAATTTAAAAAGATTAACAAAAAGAACTTCAACTTTTGGCTTACCAAAATACATACAGTGTAAGAAATAGGTCATAATCTCGTTGAAAGTAAAATGAACACAATAAATTTCTAAAATATACTGAGCAAAGAGTATGGTAAGTTTTATTCAGAAAATTTGCAAAGGCAAAGAGAGACATACAAGAATCTGAAAAGAAAGCTGGATAACGTGTGGCCACTAACCAGAGCCAAGTCAGGCCCGCGGAGGACTGTGGCAGGCAGACCTTGCTCCTCACAGGAGAGTGGCGGGGAGAGAAAGGAGCCCTCCTTCGCAGAAACATAGCCTTCTTCTGGTGACAGCTGCGGGGAGGGGGGGGGGACGTGTAAGTGCCAGTCACAGGAGAGAGACAGTGGTGAAGAATAGAAAGGAGGGCAGACGCCACAGGGCAGAAAAATGAAGAAAGAGAAGTAAAAACTGGGAAGGTTTTTAAAATGATACCAAATGAGTTTAACATTGAGTGCTAAGTATAAATTTGACAAACAGCCATGTTTAACACATTATTTGAAAATATTCAAAGAAGGTATTCATTCTAGCATAAACATCATGTGTTAGATAAGAATCTTTCTGGTTGTTTTTTACTTTTCTTATAAAAGATTATCAAAAGGAACAACTTAATCTGGCCAAGGATATAGTTTAACCACTAAAGTGCCTACCTGGCAAGCACAAGGTCCTGTTCTCTATCTGGTCTCCCAACCAACCAACAAACCAATCAACAAAAAAATCTTCAGGCCATTTTAACTGTCAAATATTCTGGCCAAATAATGACAGCAGATGTGAAATTATTAAGACTTAAAAACAGGTACAGAGAAATAAAACACTAAAAAACTATCATCTGTCACCTCTTTTTAGGACATTGCTTTAAAGAATATTTATTTGACAAAGAATGTCACTGAAGCTACAGTGAGGCCAAATAATTTAGTACAGCTTATAAGAAAGCAGAACAAAAATAGTAAAACACAGTCTGTATTAAATTATTGTCCTGAGCTATTTGTTATACTATGATCCTGAACACAATGTCTGAAAAAATCTAACACTTCTATTCCAATCTCCAATAAAATGAGTTAAAATATTTAGATATATACTCCACATCATCAATAGGTGTACACGTGCATAAATAACACAGAAAAAAATCTGGGGTTTTTTGTTTCCAAATACATGATTTTATTAGCATCACTTAAAATAATAGCTATACTCATCCAATTTTATAATGCATACTAAATTTCATATATCAAACTTTGTACTATAAGATTTATTTTGGAACTAGCAAGAAAAAGAAGACTGTGCTTCAAAATAAATGTACAATTTCTCCTCAAGGTCAGTAAAAACTTCACATTGAATCATGTTTGCTGTTTCTTTCTGTCTAGTAGAAAAATCAGAACCAAATTTATGAGCCAACCTCAGTCAATCTACAGTCTCATAATGGCCTCACCCCTACATTACCCTTTATTTGGATCTTTTTTCATGACTTCTGTACTCTTGGTTTGGTTTTATGTTGGTTTAGCATCTTCATCATTCTTCCCTCCCTCTTTTTACTTCTTCATAAGTACATTTTTATGATACTGAAATTGTTCATGGATAAAACTGGCACACAGAATAATTTAAATTTAAAGTACATTGCTAAGGTTTGTGCCTAGGTGTCCCCCCTAAAGCCTCCAGCAGCCAAGGGGTGGTTTCTGGAGTTTGTGATTGATTATGGTGGGTGTGGATGCTGCACTTGCCCTGGGGCAGGTAATCTGCATTACAATGTAAGGAGGGAAGAGAGGCTAGCCAGCTGCCAGAGCTGCAGCCATTCCTTGGCTGAGCTCTTGGCCCTTTGCTGCCACCATGAACTGTTGCCCTCTGCCAGGAAGCCAGCAGAGTATGGACTGAACCTCCACTGACTCTGAGCAAAATAAACCCCCTTCCTTCATTTTGGGTGTCGGGTATTATGTCCCAGCAATGAGAGAAGAGTAACTGAGACATACACTTAGAAAGCTTTTTACTTAAATGTATTCATAAAAAAATCAATAAATCTTTACTGCTGTTTATGCAAATATATCTAAGTGCTTGCATTTTTTAAGAGACAATACATCATCCTTTCATTTAAAACTCAATTACGTACCTGAGAAAATTATAAAAATTGACAAGGTGTCTAATATTTAATCACACTACAGTAGCCACGTATTAAGTACCATGTCACAGTGCACTAACAAAACGCACTGCTTTATGTAGCATAAATTCATCTGCTGTTCCCAAGATTGCAAGACACACTACGGGAGCTACTTCCTGTGATTAGGGAAGGCTACAAAATGATGAACCCATTTTGCAAAGTTCAATTTCATGCTCTACAGTAAGCAGACAACAAATGTGTTAAGATCAAAATAATTGAAGAACTCAAGCCACTGTGATGGAAATTCTACTTTGCTCCACCATGATTACAGAGCCCACTATTAGTTGCCTATGGCATTCATTCTCAGTACCCACAATACATTGGGATCTTAATATCTGAATACATATTTCTTGAAACACCCGATTTTGCCTTCATCATGACTTTATTATTGAATTTAAACAAGGTTAAAAAATTACAAAGCAAAGTTACAAATTTATCTGTGAGTATCCCAGCTATTTTCTTTCCTTCATCTTCTTAATAATCTTACTGAAAATTAAATCCATATATATTTATGTGGCTCATAAGCATGTTGGCAGAAAGTACCTAGAGCCATAATTTAATCACAAGAACATCTGAAGCTGAAAAATAGCCCGTGAGCCGTTTTTCTTACCAATAGAAAGGCTAGCACTAATGTCTAAATTCTTACAGGTAAAGGCTTGGCCACTCCAACCCTCACAGGTCCCAGCGCCGCTCCCTTCAGCGCGTCCACTGCCTCTTGTAGACTGCTGTGTTCCAGGCTAATGTCATTGACAAACATGAGGCGGTCTCCAGGAAGAAGCTGTCCGTCCTTCTCAGCAACGCCACCAGGCACCAAAGACCGGATTACAATCACAGTGCTTGTGGGATCAGCGGGGTCCTGACAGAAGGGAACAGCGATGAGAACTCATTTCCTTTCACACCGAAAAACTTCTTCAGTGTTGTTCTGTCTGAATTGTACTGAACGAGTAACTGATTCAAGTATCTTAAAAATTTCATATAAAAAATTCCATACAAAATTTCCGATGAATTATTTGGACATCAGTTGTCTTTATTTTATATTAGAAAGTTTATGAAGAACTTGCCAGAAACAATAGCACTCTCAATTGCTAGAATTCCTGAGCAGATGTACAGACTTTAAATTATTATTTTGAGCAGTCAAATTTTATAGCTCATTTGAGACTAAATATTAGATAAGTTATTATTAACAACAGCTTTTGTTAGTAGATGTTACTAGATGAGAGTGTGCTAAATGTAGCACCTGCTCTTTTGAAAGGAAATACAGAAATGCAAGGTCACAGAGCATTTGACAGTGCAAGGCTTGCATTTACACAGCGACCTCAACCTCAGAACATGATGGGCGGACTCCAGAGCTAGGAATCCAGCTCCCTGGAGTTACGGGGACAGCCTCTGTCTGGTATCGGTGAGAGGCAAGCATGGTGTCCACCAGACAGCAGGTCCTTATCTCCTCATCACAGAACACAGTGCAGGTAAGGACAGGCCACACTGGACATTTTAGACAGGTCCATTTACCTAGCGAAATAACTAGAATATCCGAACTTATGATATGTCATATGATAAATTTACCATGTACATAAGACAAATGTGTATCTAATATCTTATAAAGTATAACTGAATATAATCCATCAACCAAGAACACAGAAATAAAATAGACTTCTCAAATAACAAAGCACTGTATTTCTATGATATTCCTAAAATGTATTGGGTTCCCAAATTTCTAAGAGTTCAAATATAAAATATCTCAATGAATTCAATGTTAAACAAAATCCTTTATGGTAACCAATGAATCATATGAATTACTATTAAGAAAGATTCACTGAAAATAAAGTATCTTCAATTACTGTAACATTTATTTTTCTCTGCTTTCAATATTATACACTTTGTATATGTCGTCTTTTCTAAAAAGAGCTAGAAGTAAGTATATACTTACCTGGTAATCTAAAATGCTAAAGCCAAGTCCTCTGCTCCCTTTCTCCAGTTCTACGTGCTGAATGGCAGCCTCCCACATGGCCAGGGGAGCCTGAACTTCCTCTACATTCTGAATCGTGTCAGCCATCGCCAGCACTGGGTCTTCTGTCTCTGAGGACCCGATGAGCTCACCTAGATTGACATGAGGCTAGATAACAGACCAGGTATCTCTTATTTCAGAGGCACTGGAGTAGCAGACACAGATACCAACATGACCAGGAAAAGGTTCCTTTAAGCATTAAGGTATAATGTGTTAAAGAAGAAAAATACTAAGTTTTAAACATGGTTACAACTTAGTATTTGGTTAACTTTTAAAGATTTCTTATAAAATGATACAATGGTTATACTGTAGTACCACACTTGTGGTTTTCATTTTTTTCATCACCTCTATGTCAGAAAAAGAGTAAATAAAATTTAAAATCCTTATGATACATAATTCAGCTGAATTTGTATATATAGATAAACAGATATAGATATGTTTTATACTTCATGCAAATAAGGGATCCAAAGTGCTGTGACTTAGGCACAGTATTATTTCCTAAATTAAACAGTCCCAAGACATTAGATATGAAATCATATTTACTTAGGCTTGAAGCTTCACTTTGTGATTTCTTCTCTGTCACACTGAACAAGCTTCCCTGATGGCCTAGTGGTCAGGGTCCGGCGCTTTCTTACCTTGAACAACATTCTTGACCTGGGTTTCACAGTTACTCAACTCATAGAAATTTTTGAGGATTAAATGAAGTAACATTTACAAACATTTACAAACACAGAAATTAGGATTCATGTTAACTTCTTTCCATAAAAATAAAGTACAGGTTAATTCAACTTCATGTGCATGTATAAACATCAAATTTAAGAAAAAATATGTTGATTAGGAAAGAATTGTAATTCGTATACTATCTTTGTTTAAAATCAATTATGCTTAACTAGCCAGCAGAAAAGTATAAAAACAAAGTATAAAAAGTAAAGCCATATTAATATGCTGAGCTATAAAAGGCTCAAGTCAACAACTTCTGACATTGCCAGTCCTACGGAAAACCCACCACTATTATAGACTACTGGACTATATCAGAATATTTTGCTGAATTCACACACCTACAATATTTAATTGACAATGCAATACCCTTCTCTGACAAAACTAAACAAAAAAGGGGCTATAAATGAAGGACCATTTTGTATCTGTATATACAAAATAGTTAGGATAGATATACAGCTACCTTCTCTTAATTCAATGAATAGAAAAATTTGTTCTAACAGTGTTTGTGGACAGGATATCATGTCTGTATCTTGTACTATGAATAATCACTAAGAGGACAGCAATATGCAATGTATTAATTATTGAAACTGTCCTACTAATCAGTTTGAAACTGTCTCATTGCTATTTCTCAATAAAATTATTTAAAAAAATAAATACAATCAATTATGGAGGGGGCAAAGAGATACTCAGCAGCATAAGCACTTGCCTGGAAAATGCAAAATACTAGGTTCGTTCCCCAGCACAAAAAAAGAAAAATCAATTATGGACATCAGAGGACCATGGATACAAATATCACCACCTGTTTTAATGTAATTATCCCACTTAAACCATATTAAAATGTGCACTGATAGAGAGGATTCTTGCCTTTGTGTTGTACATGATCTGGAGTTATGGTTCCTACTCTATTCTTGTCACTCATTAAATTATTAACTTTATTCCTCAGAATTTTCAAAATTATTCCATTATTCCTTCAGTATAATGAAGTCAAATCCCAACATCCTCTCTTATTATATTTTAAATGAGATCTAGCTAGGCTATAAATTATGTATAACCCAAATCTGAACATTAGAAATGTATTGTACATCTTCTAAAAAGTTGAATATCAACATCACTTGATATTTCGATCTGAATGGAAAAAAAAAAAGACATGAAAATGAGCATGTGTGGATATTACAGAAACTCATTACATATCTTAGGAGCTCAAATTTCTTACTATCAATTTATTATTTATGGTGTATTTATTACAGGGTCTACAGGGGTCTCACTATACAGATTGGAGTCATCTACCAAGTGCTGGGATCACAGGCACACACCACCACACCCAGTCTCAATCACTGTCTCAGTGCACTGCAGGGGCAGGGCAGGTACAACATGCTGGGGATTGAACCCTAGTCCCTGCATCTGCCTAAACGGGTGCTTTAATCTGCTGAGCTATCTGACCAGCCTTCAAATTTCTTACTTTAGAAGCAGAGAGTAGGGCAGGGATCCAGGTTTGATCCCCAGTACAGCATGTCGCGCCGGCCCTGCCTCCGGGCGTGCCAAGCTGGCCACCAAGATCCAGCATGGCGGTGCACACCTATAATCCTAGCACTGGGGAGGCTGAAAACAGGAGGAACACTATGAGTCTGAGCTGTGTAGTGAGACCCTGGACCAAATACATAAAAATAAAATTAATTAAAATAAAAAAATAAAAGCAGAGGGTGCAAATAAGACCTCCATAGATGAATGACCTGTCCACCCATATTTTAGCTACTCCTTCTGTGCCAGACACAGAATTGACACATAAGTATGTTTTTCCATATGTGTACTACATATGTAATATTCATATATTTCAGTTTTTCATTTGTAAATGGGGATATATAAGCATCTGTTCCATAGAACTATTGCAAGTAAATTATACAAATGCCTATATGTGATGATACCTAACATTACTACTTGCATTAGCATCCAGAGCAACTGGAGGCAGCTGTCGTGACAAATTTTACCGAAAAACATAATAGAGAAAGACAAAGTGCCTTCTACCCAAGGTCACACAGCTTGTGAGTGTCAAGCACGATGCAAGCCCAGGCGTGTCCGACTTCAAGACTGTCCCTCTAATCATGAGGTACACAAGGAAATCAAACCCCAAAAAAGGAAAAATGGCTCACATCTCTGGCACAGTACACCCTTTCCACTGTATATTCAGATTAGCCTCATCTCTAAGCTCTATACCTTTTCTGCTAGCTCAATGTCACTCAGGTCCAGGCTGTCCAATTCTGACTGGGAGGTCGGAGGCACAGTTCGACGACAGCACACCATTGTCACCTCTATTGGCAATTCTTTCAATATATTGACCACATCTGCATGATTTTCCCCAAGCAAAGTTATGCCATTCACCTATAAAAGGATGCATTTGTCAATTAGTAAAACAATTAATAATATGACTATTGTTTTAAAAAACTTTTTGTATTAAATAAATTCTACTGTGATAATGATGATCATAGCTCACAAGGCCCAGAATTACAATTGGACCTCTGAAAGTACTATCTAAAGCAACTTATGCACAAGTTTAAAGTTTGGCTATAACTGAAGCTTTCAAACAACTCCGTGAAAAACTCTTACTTTCCATCCACATCTGATCTACTAGTGGAGGATTCTAGAAAACGTAAGCTGATGAAAATATCCACAAAGGAAGAAGGAGGAAAGTCATTAAAAGTTGACACTGTTCATTAAACTGCATCTATGAAGCTGCTAATAGAAAATGACCCAGCCTGGCATGGTGGCACACATTTGTAATCCTAGGCAAGGTGACACAGGCCTATAACCTCCACACTATGGAAGGATGAGGTGGGACCATTTCAAGTTCAAGCCCAGCCTAAGTGACTTAAGAGAAAATACGTATCAAAATAAAATTTTATGACAGGGTTAGGGAGAGACTTTTCAATCTGTTGAAAAGTTCATTACTTATTCTACAAATTAAACATATTTTTAAAACTTTTCAGAAGAATTTTGTACATTTCTGGACCTAAAGAAAAATAATAGCCAACATAAAGTAAGGTCTGAAACTCTATGTGCACAGAGCTTTGAAATTTCTGCTTGGAGTGGATCTTTTTCTTTTTTCTTTCTTTCTTTTTTTTTTTTTTTTTGTATTTTAGGGAAGGGTCCTCAGGATTTTTAGGGCCTCACTACTAGATTGGACTCATAATGATCTGCCTGTTTACAGCCTCCCAAGAGCTGGGATTACAGGTACGCACCACCATGCCCAGTATCAACTGCTGTCTCAGTGCACCCAGGGGCCAGGCTGGCATAGCAAGCCCTGGGAATTGAACCCCTGGTTCCTGCACCTGCTTGCAGGCACTTTAATCTGCTGAGCTATTTTGCAGGTCTTTTTTTTTTTTTTTTTTT